TGATGCATTTGTAAAATTTTAAAGGGAGTTTATAAAGGTTATGAGGTTTTCAGGTTCTTATTGCATTCCATATTTACATCTTTCTTCTTTGGGGAGCGTAGGCAATGATCCATCTTTCATCATTATGGAACACTGTTCCTGTTAAATCATTGAAGCAATCATATCAGACCCGTTACAAATTTGGTGGCAGATGCCCAAGGGGTTAAACCACACTAATTAGCACAAGCACATGAGGATGCTCCCCAAATGACCTGACCCACAATCGAAAAGAAAACTGGAATTTTTTGTTTGTTTCTTCTTGGTTCCATGTAAATGTGATGCACATGCACATGATATATATTATATATATTGCATGAAGATATGGGTTTTGTTGGTATTTTGGAAAGATATGAATTGACAGCAACATTGCTTCTATGCTTGGTTGTTTTGCCTCAAGAAAACTTTTTTTTTTTTCCAATTAATTTGTTTCGTTCTTATTATCATTTGCACCATTGAAGTATAGCAGTCATATCTATATGAAGAAATTGGTGAGATGGAAGTTATGGTTTTCATGTTTTCTAATTAACATGATACCCTTCGTCTAATTCTATTATTTTGAACTGTTTTATCAATAATGAGATTGAATATATCATCTTCATACAAGTTAAAATTTATAGTCATGAAGAATAGCTTAAAATTATGGTTAGAAAAATTGCGAGCATTTATTCAATGGGGCCTGGTGTCTAGTAGACATTGATATAGAAGGTGATCATGATTGAGCTGATTTTGACAGTGTTTCCATTTCCAAACAATTGGATTAATCTGTTTTTGGCTGCTTCTATCTGGGTTTTCCTTCTTTTTTTGTGATGATCATGTCACTCCATTTCTTTTTAGATTTAGGGAATTGAAAACTCCAAAAAAACACACGAACAGGCTTGCTCTGCCTTTCTCAATATCCAACAATATGTCGCTCATGATTATTCATATAATTGGTTTGTAGATAAGCTTGGTTGTTAACCGGTAATTTGAGACCACAACCCAAGATATTGTTGAAACAGAAAAGAAATCAAAATTATTATGCAAGGGAAATATCAGATGAGAAGAGCCAAGAGTTATCAGATGAGAGGACATATCAGGTCCCAGCTCCAGCAATCTGTGGGGGCATTTGAAATTAAGCCTGGAAGCAAATAGTGGCAAAATGGGACCCCAGGCAAAAGGTCCCAGCCTTTGCCCTGAGGACTTTTTCACCCACAGAACTCATTCCTCTGGAACTTCATTACTCCTTCTGACAACTTTCATTCAAATTCATCAGAATTCCCAGATTCCTCGGTATTCTGTCTCTCTTGTGTAATGCTCCTTGAATCCTGGCTCTAAGTTTCACAACATACAAATTACCGGTTCCTAATGCAGTGTTTTTCCATCATGGAACACCATTAATCAAATCCAAAATAGCTAGCCTGCGGCCTGACATAACTATTATTTCCTCTATATCAGAAAATTTAGGCGACCAATGTCCTGACAAAAGGACCCAGTTACCTACACATCCGAGTGAAACGGATGAAGCAAAAATAGACAGGATGTTCTTGTTGAGTGTGAATTCATCTGCCTTAACTTGGTTAATTGACTGCATCCAAAAGAACAAAAAAAAAAAAAATGAATACTCAGGTTAAGTCCATCTTGGATTGGAAGTGGTACTGTTTAATTCTGACAATCAATAGAAGAAAACTGTTAATTCATACTCAGCTACATTTTAAAGTAGCAGAGATCAAGCTTCAGTCAACTGGTCATACAGCCATTTTCATGACTTCAGATGATACATCTTAGTTTCATGTCAGATTGGTTGCCCAAATGAATCCGTACAGTTCGGCAGAGCGCGCACACACACCAAAGGCATATGACATTGAACAACAATTATAAATAAAAATAGTTCCAACTTTTAAGTAATTACTGTCAATCAACGAATCCAATAGTTTGCATTCTTTCAAATTATATTGGTATAAATACAACTAGAATTAAACCCCACTAAGCTGGCATTGTTCTTTTATCATATATTTTCATTGTTTTTAATACATTTATTATGATTATTTTAACATAAAAATATTGTATGGTAAAAATTGAATATATGTGGAGCAAAAGGTCCTCCAGTGCAAAGGAAAGCCCTGAAGCATAGGGATTATGAAGTTGATCTCGAGTCTCGTTTGGGTAAAACTCAGGTTAGTATAATTGCTTTTGCGTGGATTAAACTTAATCTTAATTCGGTTTGTATTAAGCCATATTGTTTAAATATCTACTTTTTGCAGGTTTTTACTCCATTGGCACCTTTAAGTCAGCAGGTAATTTCTTTTCATTTCCTTCGTTATTTGTGTTGGGCTTCAAAGGATAAATAGAGTAACGCAAAAATAATATATTATAATAAATTTATAATAATTTATAATAATCGATGATTAAATACGTAAAAAAAAAAAACATTAAGATTTATATAAAAAATCTTCTATTAATAAAAAAAAATTACAAATCATCATAAAAATTTTTATTTCTCGAATTAAAATTAAAATTAATCAATAATTAAAAAAATAATTAAAAATTTTCATCTAAAAATATATTTTAAATTTATTTTTGAAGAATTTCAAATTCGATTTTTACCGAACGTAAAGCTATGAATAATAAAATTTCAACTAAATCGAATCATGAAACAACTTCAACTAATTCTTCTTTCTCTTTTTCTCTTTATCTTTTGTGGCTTCTTTCGCTCTGCCGCCACCTACCTTTCACGCCAAAACAGCCCTCACTTCTTTTAATATTTAGGGCTCAGTTAAAAGATCAAGGCCGATGACCTTTAATTGGTCAAACAACACATGGGACTGGACCCACAGCTCTAACAGTTTGAACTTATGTTACAACTGTGTTTTCGAGGCATCTGACGTTCGTTGTTTCCATTTCTGAAAGCACAACAAAGCTGGTTGATGTTCATTGTTTCATTTAGCTGATAGTGTTCTATGCACAGCTTTTGATCTCTGAAGCATTGTGGTTTCTTAAATCAAAAGGTCAAGACTCTGTCTACTTTTGGAGCAAACTCATGTTGACCTGATTTTGATAGACTTAACTTGATTTTAACGTGCTGGATGTTTTACTCTTCTACCAACCCATGAAATAAAGGCTTTAGGAAGGTATTAAAGAAACACTAGTATGCTTGCGTTGTGTAAAGGTTTTACATTGTTGTGTATTGATATTTGAAAAGGAAAGAAATGTTAAATTTACTTGAAATGCTTCATTCATTTTTAAATTGGTATATGGGTTACTATCTAAAATGGCTCTTTCAATGACAATTTCCGAGTGTTTGGAACATTGTGTATTCAGCTTTAAGATTGAATCTTTTTTATCACCTTAAGCTTTTAAAAGCTGTGTTTCATGAGTTTGGTCTGATATTTTTTCATGATATGTGTCCCTGCCTCTACCCCTTTCCCATTAGCCTTTGCTTTCTCACCCTCTCCCTTCCTGGAGAGGTAGCCATAAAGAGATTGAGCTTCTGGGGATAGTAAACCACAAGTTTCAATTGAATGAAAAAAGTGACAAATCGAGATTCGACAAATGCATGAAATAAAGGGCAAGAATATTAAATGTTTTATCGATTAAACGAAAAAAATTGAAAATGAATCAAATAATTTGTTGGGGAGCTTTGGATTAATTCCTACACTTGGAAATTTGCAAGGTACATTGCACTCAATTTGAATCAATGGGACACGAATTTATAAAAGAGAATTTAAAAAAAAAAATTATGGATGAATTAAGATTATGAAACGATCGAGTAGGAATTTTAAAGGTCTCTTCTGGTTCTATATAAATTACTAATCTTCCAAGCTCCACTTCATCCTTTCCTTGCAAGTTATAACAAGTTCCATTTAGCCTTTTTATTGCATTCCATTTTCTCAAAGCTTTCTGTCAAAGAAAGAGCAAAGATGGAAAGCAGGAGTTGCTGCGAATCAAGGAGCAATGTCTGCACTTCAAAGCATGAAACTGTGGTTGTGACTCCGAAGAAGGAAGAAGATGTGAAATCAGATATCCCCAAGGAAACTGTGGTTCATGCTGCTGCTTTGGTGAAAACTCCAAAGGCTGAAGAGAAAGAGACAGTGAACATCAAGAAAGAGCCTGTTAAGGCTAATTTTGGTTGTGGTGGGTGTAAATAGTCAAAACTATGTTTGCAGGTAAGTGGATTTGAGGGGAGCTTCTTATCTATGTTTATAGTTAATTATGGTAAATCGTTTGGTTAATGGTGTGTTTAGCAGTTAATTTTAAAGATAATTATGGCTTTATTATTGTTTTAAACTGGCTTCTGCCTGCTACTTGAGAAGTTGGTTGTCAGGTTGTGCAATCCCCCTCAAATAATAAATGGCTATTATGGTTTCATCTCTCTCTGTCTCTGCTAATTTGAGGTCAAATAGAAAAAAATAGTTATTTTGTTCGAAACCTTCAATTTATTGCCATTTTTTTTTCTGCAAAATTAGAGGGTAAGATATCTAAAATTGATTAGGTTAAATTTGTTACTACAAGAATACCTAAAAACTACCGATGGTAAGGATTTTGAAAAGAAATTTACAAATGAATAATAGTGCATCAGATATTAATCTTTACATATTTGTTGTCGAAACAAGTGAAAGCTTTTGCGAGGGATTGCCCTCTTTGATCATGTCCAAAAAAGCTGAGGATTAAACAATTGTAGAGGAACTAAGGAAAATGATCAGGATGATCAGCAGGATAACAAAAACCTGAGTTTTACGTTGCAGCACAACATGGCAATGAAAATTAAGTTGAAGCAATTGAAGCTTGCCAATGGAGAGTAAGTAGGTGAAACAAGTCACCAATTCTGTACTTGAATTTGCAACAAGTTTGTCATTTTTGTGTAAAGTACACTTGAGAAACACCAGAAAGCTCGAGTTTGATTTGATGGTAATTACTGTGATTTCAGGAGCTTAACATCACAGATAAGATTTATGCATGCTATCTTCAACATGATTGTTTCAAAATTTCACCCACAAGTCTAAGCGTAAATAAATGAAAAGCCACCCAGCAGACGACATGCTTGGACGACAGTATGAGTTGTCAAACATTTGCAAAGCTGCTTGTTGCAGCAGTAAATACACTATCCTGCCTAGGGGAGATACTAATGTAGTAATCAGGGACCAAATCATCAATTACCTATATGTCTCATTGTCTCGTAGAGGGTAGCATGTTTACTAATTCAAACAAAAAAAGAAGAAAAAAACCAAGGGTAAGAGAAGAGGGGAAAGGTGGGTAACAGAAGGGGAAGGGGGAGGGGATGGAACACCTGCAACAATGATTTCTTAAAGTGTTCCATCCAACTCAATTCTGTATAAAAATAACATTTAGAAAGAAAGTATCTAAATATCCTGTAGCTACCTACTTAATGTACTGAGAAAGCCACTTGAAACCATCTCCATAACCCATTTTACGAACAATGCTACACATGAATACCTCAAGAGGACGAACATTTGAGTCTCCCAAGTTGACCTTACCCTTACCTGTGGTGAAATTGGTCAGGCCAAGTTGATAACGCATCTCATCTTCTGAGGCAGCATATGGTATATCAATCTTGTTGCCCAAGATGAGGAACGGAACATTAGCCAAGGCTTCATCAGAGAGGAGAGCATCCAACTCCTTTTTTGACTCAGCAAACCTCTCCTTGTCATAAGCATCCACCAGGTAAACAACCGCATCAACCTACAAAAAAATTTCATATCAGTTTAGTTATGCTCGGTAGGAAAAGAAAAGAGAAAACGTTCTGGTAATCATGTTGCCCTTCGTAACATGACACCAGTGATAACAGAATGTCCAAAAACTACCAGGATTCTATTGTGCAAGATTGCCCACAAAAACAAGACAAGAGAAGAAGAATAGGAAGGCCTATATATTACTGAAGACTTAAGCAAAAAGAAAAAAATTATGTTTTTTGCTTTACAACATTCCTACACTAATCTTGATAAATATATTGTGTGGTTAAGTACCATCAAAACACCTTTTTATCAAAATTAGAGGTGGAATCAAAGAACTCACCATGCTTTTCTTCGCTCCACATGAATCAGGTAATCACAAGTATTATTATCTGGGATTATAGAAGCACATTCAAAAAAGACAATGACACAGACGCTCTTGCAATCATACAGATGCTCAAGTGGAATAGCAAAGAAGAGAAGTGACCAACCGGATGCATATTACTACTAAATTCTCAAATCCCCATTCATGCAACAAACTTTACCATATTTGACCAAACTTGAACAATAGCTAACGTTAAATTATAAATAATGAAAATTATTCTTCACACCATGAATAAATACTTAACAAACAATAGCAATTAAAAATTGCAAGAGAATTTGAGTTACCTTGGCATAGTAATCTTTCCAAACTCTTCTAGCAATCTGATGGCCTCCCAAATCAAAAGCCTTAAACTTGATCTTCCCAATACTTAATTCCTCTGATGTGGGATGCTGTGTTGGCTGATGCTGAACTAATCTCTGCCAAATCCAATTACCAACATCCATAAAAACCCAACTTTCAATCACCTTATTATTGAAGAAAGCAATTAATTTCTACCAAAATCCCATCATTAGTACAAGCTTCATAGCCTTAATTACCTTTAACTAAACGTTTATTAGCATTCAAATCATTTCTAAATCAGAAATATAACAACTTTATTAGAAAAACCAATTATATTAAAACACATATAATTCCCAAATTTGCAAAGTGATTTGATTTTAGCAACACTCATTTTGCAATTACATATCAATAATTTGAAAAAAAATTATAATAAAAAAAGGTGAATTATGAGAAATACCTCATCTTTGAGCATGTGAAGCAGCGTCGTTTTACCGGCATTATCAAGCCCTAAAAACAAGATCTTGGCCTCTTTTTGCCATAAACCAAGAGAAGCAAGGATCCCATAGAACCAATCGAAGAAAAACATAATTTAATTCCTTCAATAAAAATAATGAAACCCAAAAATAAAAATTGAATCTTCTTATTAAAAAAAAAAACAATAGAGAGAGAAAGACTGAAATGTTGCTGTGCTGGTGGCGGGTCTGCATATATTTAAGGGAGAGTGAGTTGGCGATTTTTGACCGGGTGAGTTGTTCGAACCAATCAGGTTGGTTTGAATGGCGGGCTGGTTGGTTGGTGACAATTTGTCAATTTGGGCTTTTTCCCAATTTTGAAATTAAGGGAAATTCTTTTTACTTTGCATTTGCTTTCTATTGGGCCTATCTTATTATTGGGCTTTTCTTTTGGCAACGAGATTACTATATCTACATGCACCCAAACCCTTTTAGCTGGTGGAAGTTTTTTTTTTACATTATCAAAAAATAAAAAATAAAAACACCAAATCAACGAAAAATGCAAGCAAGACAAAAAGAAAAAAAAATTTATACGAAGTTTTAAAGATAAAATTCGTCAATTTTTTATTAAAAATAAATAAATTAAAATTAAAAATTAAAAGTTTTCATCGTATAAATTAAGTGTATAAATTTTAAAATATTTTTATATATTTAATAAATAAATATTTTTAATAAAAATATTGATAAATATTAATCAAATTTAAACTACAACTAATATTTTAAATAATTTTTTTTTATTTATTCATTTTTAATAACAAACTTAATTAAAGTTTTATCCGGCCGGACAAGACATAATAGATAAGTAACAATGAATGAAGTCAAAACGGGAAGTACAAAAATGTTCCACTGTCTTGAAAAACCAGCGATCCAAACGTCCAAAACTAACAAATCCCACAGATTTTTCCCTCCCAAAAATCTCACCCCCTTTAGGTAAATATGTAGTACCGTCAGGTCCGTCTGTAGAACCTATCAAATTAATAGTTCAACTTCCACTCTTGAAGTTTTCAACTGTTTATTTCCAAACAAGAATCAATGGCTGATGTTGTAGCAAAAGACTGCAAAATCCTGGTGGCCGTCGATGAAAGCGAGGAGAGCACGTACGCTCTTTCATGGCGACTGAAGAACGTGATTTCTCAAAATTCCAAAGATACCCTTATCCTCCTTTACGCTAAACCTCCGAGCGCCGTGTACTCTGCTCTAGATGGAAGAAGCAGGAAACCCCACGTTCAATTTTTTTTTAATGTAAAATTTACAGGCATTTTTTGGTAACAGGAAAGGAAACAATGAGCTGATCCAATGGTGTTTGTTTCAGGGTATTTGTTTTCTGCTGATATTTTGGCCACGATGGACAAGTACAGAAACGATGTGGCGGTTTGTGTGATTGAGAAGGGCAAGAGGATGTGCAGAGAGCAAGATGATGAGGTGTGGTTGCTAGTAAATTTAAGAAAAAATAGAAATAGTAAGAAATAAGAAAATATGAGTTTGAGATGTGAATAATATTATTTTAAAAGTAATTATATTTATAAGATACAAAAAAATTTTAAAATTTTTTAGATTGTAGTGAAATTAATTAAATAAAAATATTTATTTATAATAAATGAACAATCATTAATTAAATAAATTTAAAAAATTATGATATTTTATATAATCATATTTTATTGTTTAAATAAATTTTATTTAAATAATCATGTTTTTTATTGTTTAACATATTTATTTAGACCCAATAATATTTTGAAATAAATAAAAAAATAAAAAATTTAAAAATTAAATCTATTTATCAAACAAGTCAAAGTGCTCATATTTGACTTTTAAAATTATCTGACTCACTAAAAAAACTCTTAATAAGTTCAAATGACTTGATTCATTCTAACACTTAGCTCAATTACTTAAATAACATAAGTAATTTCTTTTAAATTATATATAAATGATCTTTCTATTCAATAGGAGATACATCACATTTTAAACTATCAACAACTCACACTAGTTTGGAATGTTGGTGTTTAATCTTTAACTTTTCACACAAATAAATATTATGAATACAAGAAGGTATCTTTTGATTTAAACCTTCAATTAACATATATACCTTAAAATTCTAATAAAGTTGATGGTGTTCTCAGATTAAACCTTAACTCTTAGTGTTAAAATTAAAGATATAACACACATAATACTTATTTAATATTCTACCAGAGGTTTATAATCGCTTTAGCACTATTATGACAATGTGTTTATCCTTATTCATAAACATTTACAAGAAAGTTTTCAATTTTCTTATTGAAGTGATACCACTTCTATGTTTATATCGGTGAAGTTTCTTATTCATGTTTTCATTGCTATAAACATTTAATTATTTACAAGAAAGTTTTTAATTTTCTTATTGAAGCGACACCACTTCTATGTTTATATAGGTGGAATTTCTTATTCATGTCTTCATTGCTATAGACATTTAATTATAAACTCCATTAAGAGTTCAATCTCATCTTCCATTAATACAATTGCTTACACTAGTATTTCAAATATTTATAATGGGTTGACTAGTGTTTATAGACATATAACAATAACTTATTGTTACCTATTAAACTTTGCAATTATAGGTTACTAATTCAAAGTTAGGTTTCTATTATTAGTGTCTAAAAGGAATTTTAAACCCATTCTACTTGTAGTGCTTCTTACCAAATTTTTAGATAGCGCCTTGGTAAGAGGATCTGCTAAGTTGTTAGCAGATTTAGCATAAATGATGGTAATTATCCTATTTTTTATCAATTATCTGATATAATCATGTCTTAGACTAACATGTCTAAATTTTTCATTATAAATTTTACTATAAGCCCTAGAAATAGTAGCTTCACTATCACAGTACAAAGAAATGGATGTCATTGGTTTTGGCCACAACTCTATATCCATTAATAAATTTTTTAGCCATTTAGCTTCCTTGTCTACTGTAGCTAAAGCTATAAATTCATATTTCATAATTAAATGTGACATGCAAGTTTGTTTCTTGGATGCCCAACTAATTGCACCACCTCCAAGGGTAAACATCCATCATAAAGTGGATTTATTGTCACTTATACTAGTGATCCAACTTGCATATGAATATCTTTCTAAAATAGATAGATCTCTAGAACAAAATAAGTCAAAATCTTTAGTTCTTTTAAGATAACTTAGAACTCTTCCTATGATTTTCCAATGACTTATACTAGGCTTACTTGTATATCTCGATAACTTGCAAATAGCAAAAGCTATATCTGACCTAGTATAATGCATAGCATACATAATATTTCCACTAGCACTAGCATATTCAAGTTGTGCAATTATACAACCTTGATTTTCTGTTAATTTTATACTTGTATCATATGGAGTATTGGTTTCTTTTATATTAAAATACTTAAACTTATTAAGCAGTTTCTCAATATAATAACTTTGATTAAAAACGAAGCCTTTATTATATCTCTAAACTTTAATTCCCAAAATGATATCAACTTCATTTAAATATTTCATTTTGAAATTAGAAATCAGATACCTTTTGGTTTCATTTATGCCAATCATATTAGTACTAAAAATTAGCATATCATCTACATAGAGACATATTATAACTCCATATTTTTTAGTAAATTTTGAGTAAATGCACTTATCTGCTCCATTATGTTTAAAACCATTAGCTACTACGATTGAATCAAACTTTTCATGTCATTGTTTAAGAGCTTGCTTTAGCCCATAAAGTGACTTAATTAATTTACAAACTTTATTCTCATTACCTGAAAGAATAAAACCTTCTGGTTGTTTCATGTATACTTCATCCTTTAAGTCACCATTTAAAAATGTTGTCTTAAGATCCATTTGATGCACATGTAGTTTATAAATGGAAGCCAAAGCTATAAGAACTTTAATGGATGTTATTCTAGCTACTTGAGCATATGTATCAAAATAATCTATGCCTTCCTTTTGTTTAAAAGCTTTTGCAACTAATCTTACTTTAAAGGTTTGTATGAAATCATCTGTATTATATTTCTTTTTAAACATCCATTTACATCCTATAGGTTTAGAACCTGGATGTAAATCTACCAAGACCCATGTAATATTGGACATGATTGAGTCTATTTCATCATTAATAGCTTCTTTCCAAAAAGTAACATCTCTTGAAATCATAGCTTCATTAAATGTTTTAGGGTCTTCATCTATATTTAGTAAAATTGGTGCTTTCTTAAACATTTTGGTTCTATTTTCTTTTACTAGAAATATTATAGAATCTGGAGAAACAAAGTCAAAAGGCAAAAGATTCGCTTTTCTAGTTCTTTTGCTTATTCTAATTTCAACAGAATCATTACTTTCTTTTCTTTTATTTTCAGTCGTAAGAATCATTTCAATTTATTTCTCCATATCAATTTCAGTATCACATATAAACTTATTTTCAAAAAATTCTACATGAATAGATTCAACAATAACATTAGTATTTAAATCAAGAAGTCTATATGCTTTTCGAATTCTGTGCATAACCAACAAAAACATTTAATACCTCTAGGTCCTAATTTTGATTTATAAGGATGAGGTATTTTATAAAAAGCAATGCACCCCCACACTTTAAAATAATCAAAATTTGATTTTTTGCAATGATTCCAAAGTTCATATGGTGTCTTTAAGAATTTCTTTGAAAGAATTCTATTATGTATGTGGCATGCTGTTAAAAATGTTTTTTCCCAAAGATTTAAAGGTAATTTAGCATTTAACAACATACTATTTATCATATCAACTAAGGTTCTATTTTTTCTTTCGATTAAACCATTTTGTTGGGGTGTAAAAGGGGCTGTCTTTTGATGAATAATTCCATTATCTTCACAAAAAAGAGAAAATAAATCTGAAAAATATTCACCACCCCTATCAGTTCAAAGAATTTTGATTTTCTTCTCCTTTTGATTTTCAACAATTGATTTATATTCTTTGAATTTATCAAAAGCTTCATCTTTTGTTCTCATTAGATACACAAAAGTATAACGAGAACTATTATCTATAAATGTTATAAAATACATTTTTCCTCCCCTTGTTAATAAACCATTTAACTCATAAATATTAAAATGTACGAGTTTTAATAATTATGTATTTTTTTCAGCTTTAGAAAAATATTTTTTAGTCATTTTGGCTTTGACATAGATTTCACATTTAATGTCATAATTTTTTTGGTATGTTATATAGTCATGCTTAGTCATATGATTCATATATTGATAATTTAAATGTCCTAATCTAGCATACTATAAAGAAGAAGAATGTTCAACAATATAAGCAGAAACATTATTTATTTCATCAATACTTAGTTTAAACATACCATTATTGGAATATCCTTTTTCAATGAATACACCATTTTTGGAGACTATAACTTTATTAGACTCTAGTAAAATCTTAAAGCCTTTCTTACATAATAAATTTGCAGATACAAGGTTCTTTCTAATCTCAAAAACATGAAAAATATTAAGTAAAGTTAGTTTTTGTCCTAAGGTGAATTTCAATTCAATTGTTCCTTTTCCTATCATTTTAGCATGAACATGATTTCCCATAAGGATGTTTTCTGATCTCTTGCATTCTTCATAAGTCTTGAACTGCTATTTGTTATTGCAAACATGAATTGTTGCACCAAAATCTAGCCACCAATCAGATGACTTATTTGCAATAGCCATATGAACTTCGGTGATCATTTCAAGTTGCATGTCAGTCACCATTGCAAGAAGTTCATTAATTTTTTGCTCAATCAGATTTGCCTTACTTTCAGAACCAGAACCAATCTTAATTTCAGTATTTTAAAATCTATAATCTTTAATCAAATGTCCTTTCTTTCCACAATGGAAACGCATTTTTATTCTTGTTAAATTTGGATTTATTAAATCCATTTTTCTTGACTTTAAAATTATTTTAAAATTTATCAGAAGACTTGTGAGTTTTTTCAAAATTTTATCCTCTTATATAAATCACATTTGAACCTCCAAAAAAGAGTTCATCTCTTGCACGATTTTTCGCTTCAATTTGTATGTGAGTCTGAAATTCTTCAATAGTGAAAGTATCTGTTGAATGCAGAACTTTCTTTCTATATCCATTCCAAGAAGGAGAAAGTTTTGACAAAATAGTTTCAACTTGAAGTGAATTAGGAACTTTAATTTCTAGCTCACTTAACTTAGAAATTAGAATTTGCAACTCATGCACTTAGTCCATGATTGGTTTATCATCAGTTATTTGAAAATTCAAAATATTTCAAAGCAAAAAACTTATCTGTACCTTTTTTTTCATTCATGTATTTGTGTTCAAGAGCAATCCATATCTCTTTTGGTGTTTTCATATTTCTGTATAAATCATATAGACGGTCAGATAATAAATTCAAAATATAACCTTGATAGATTAGTTCATCTTCTTCACGTTTGCTTCTTGTTGCCTTAATAGCATTAAAATCTTTAGGAGTTGGTTTTGGAATTGGTTTCAAATTTGGATCAAATACATAGAACATCTTCATTGCAGTCAACAGAAAAACCATTTTGTCCTTCCACCTAGTGTAGTTTGATCCATTAAAACGATCAAGTCTGATTACATTTTGATTTTGAAAATGAACATTCATGCTTGATTCCAAATCTATGTAGCAGTAGGGGCAACAATGGATGTAGTATCCATAATTACCTTTAAAATTGTTTGTAATTTTTTTAAAAAATAGAAATAGTAAAAAAGAAGAAAATATAGCTTTGAGACGTGAATAACACTATCTTAAAGGTAATTATGTCTATAGGATACAACAAAGCCTTAAAACTCTAAAGATCAGAAGTAGTAAAATTGGTCAGGCAGAAAGATCTATTTATAATAAATGAACAGTCATCAATCAAGTCAATTCAAAAAATTATGACATTTTGTATAGTCATATTTTATTATTTAAATAAACTTTATTTAAACAGTTATGTTTTTCACTGTTTAAACATATTTATACAGAATCAGTAATTTCTAAAATAAATAAAAAAATAATAAAAAGATTTAAAAATTAAATCTATTTGTCAAACAAGTTTAAGTGTCCATCTTTGACTTTTAAAATTGTCTGATCTATTAGAAAAACTCTTAGTAAACTCAAATAACTTGACTCACTTTAACACTTAACTCAATTACTTAAATAATATAAATAATTTCTTTTAAATTATAAATAAATAATCTTTTTACTCAACGTGAGATGTACTATATTTTAAATTATCAATAGTGGCTTGTGTATAATCTTTGTTTTTGAGAGTGTGTTTGGCTGAATGGACGTTAATGCTGTAGAGGTGAGAGTAGAGAATGATGATCCAAGGGACGTGATTTGCGAGATTGCTGAGAATATCAACGCCGACGTGTTAGTTACGGGAAGCCACGGCTACGGCCTTATCAAGAGATGGGTCGTCCCTCTTAATTTTCATTTTTCTACAATTTTTTTGTTTACAATAGCCAGCCAGGCTATGGATTATTGATTTTTTTAATCATAATTAATTAAAGTAATTGGCATTAGATTGTTGAGAATTTTAATTTTTAAACAACAGTTAAAAAAAAAAAAAACCCCATGGCCATGGTTAGCAACAATGTTGGTCCAATTATATTGGGTTTGCATGTGTTAACTAGTTTTTTATGGAATAGCAGGGCTTTCTTTGGGAGTGTAAGCAGTCACTGTGCACAAAATGTGAAGTGCCCCGTGCTGATTGTTAAGAAGCCTAAATGTTCCTCTTCTGGAACCAAATGATTGGGATACAACTGATACTTTTATGTCCAAAGGTCCCTTGTAAAAGATTGTGCTGTATGCTTCAGCTCTTGTTGTTTCCTCATCTCTTTGTCTACTTAATTTTTTGGTCCTTTTTGATTTCTCTACTCATATTAAGTTTTTCTATATATTATACAATTATAGTCAGTAAAGCCTTCCTTCTAAATGATTTAATTCCATGCATCCATTCAATTTGTATTGAGTTGCTCTTTCTTCCACATTCATTTTACTTCATCTAACTCTGCTTTCTGTATTTCTTTAATCTTTGATTTGGCCAATACAACATTGAGAATTGAAAATGACCCAAAAAACACTTTTGAAAAAGAAAAGAAGTTCAGAGTATTGGATAAATCTACTGATCATAATAAGCATCCTCCTCTTTGTTCAGGCAGCTAAAATCATATTAAAACGCATAAGTCAAAGTTTTCTTGCCTGCGGAGCATTCAATTCCTTTTTCCCCTCTAACAGGAAACTCCTACAACTACAAATAAAAAAAAAATAAAGGAAATCTCTTAAGAGCACTTGCGGCACTTTAATCTTCAAACCAAATTGTCAGCAAAATATTGAAGTGCTCTTGCCTTACAGCTCATCCTGAATGCAAAAGGCAACCATTCATCAATAAACATATAATTGATAAAAATGATTTACCAAAATCAGACAAGAAAATAGCTACTTACATGTACATCTTCCTCGGTCTCTTCCTTTATCTCAGCACTGTCTTTGCTTGCATCTGATTTGGTATCAGAATCAGACTCATTTCCTTCACCATCATCACTATCATCATCTTCGTCCTCAATCTGGAATGTCAGTTAACACAATGAAAACCAGAACGACAGCAAACAAATCATCATATTCTTAAGAAGGCATGTTGTAGGCTTACATCAGAATCAACTGGGTCATCCTTTGATTCCTGAAGATCATGTTACATTAGTTAGAAAGGGGACACAAATATAAGTACAAGTAAGAAAAGAACTAAGACACTTGTAGTCAAGAAAATACCTCCTCTTTCTTTTTCTCTGCTTCCTCAAATGCTGCCTTCTCAGCCTACAAAAGGCAATGACATCAGCCAAATATGACAAAAAACGAACTTAAGAAAAGGAAAAAAAAAATCAAAATACAGAGATGCACATACATCCTTCTGTTTGCCCCATGTTTCTTCAGCTAGTTTCTTGGCATACTCTATATCATCAGCAACTAAGATATTATCAAACATTGTTCCAGATTTCACCTGAAAAAAAAAATTATCTTGTTATAGTTCTAAAATAGCATGGAATGATGCTAGCATAGGAGTAGAGAAAAACGAGGCAAAAGAATACCTGCCACAATTCAATACCAACATACTTCAAGTTGGGGAAAACATAGAGATCAGGGTCATCCTTGAAATCTGTGGGCCATAACAAAACACAGTAATAAATAACCTAAAATTTTGTTGTTGACAATAAAAAAAAATGCACGACAGAAAAGAAATAGCAATAAACCTGGGTTGTCAATCATTGGTGCCTTCCACTTGCCCTTGTAGTTAGGGTTTTTGATTTTCTGCAGATAGAGGAAGAATTGTGACACACTACTAATTCAAAAATCATATTAGATGCTGCAATCAGATAAGGGTTTACAAACCTTCGGCTTCCATGGGCCTTTGTACTCAGGGTTGGGAATTGTTGAGGGTGTCCATTCACCATCTTCTTCATCATCCCAATCTTCAGGCTGTTATAAATGATTTTAATCATTAATCTTTATTTCAAACAAGGCATACTATTTCATAATAAAAGCATTCCAGAAAAAAATATATGACTACCTTTTTAGCATCAGGATCAGGGATCTCTTTTGGAATGTCATCATAACCCTATAGTAATCAAAACACTAGTGGTTAGCTTGCCTATGCAGTTTTAGGCAGTATATATAATGTAGCATAAGAGAATGGAGGAAGGGGAAAAATGAGAAGTTATTACCTCTGGCTTCTTATCTTCAGGATCAGGGATGTATTCGTTGTCTTCCCAATCTTCAGGCTGCCCATCATGCAAAGAAATTAGGTTGTACTCAAAATTCATATGAGAAAAAAAAAAGAAAAAACCAAACAAACATCAACAGAGATTATGCGTTACTGATTACCTTCTTGGCCTCAGGGTCCTTGATTTTTTTTGGCGGGAGAAGATCCCAATCAGTGTACAAGCTACCAGTTTGTTTCTCAACATTATCGATAAGAATGCTGTAGGTAGCATCTGGACGGAGAATGAATGTATAAACATGAGTGAGTTGGTCAGTCTCACAAGGAACTTCCTTTTTTATCAAGTGGTTTGTCCCATTGTAGGTCAGAATAGCATGTACTTTCTTGGTGCTGTAGCCACAGATATCAGGCCCAAACATGATGCTGCAACCAACCAACATAACAAAAAATCAGTAAATCTATAACAATAATATCTTTTAGAGATACGAATAGATTAGATCACAGGGTAAGAAACAACCTGTAGGGGGTTTCACCACCAAATTTCTTCTGGTCAATGTTACCGCTGAGCAACTTCATGTAGCCACCACCACAATCAAGCTTCTGCTCATGCTTGACAGAAAATTGGAAGACTAGAGTCCTCTCCTTGTTGTTAGCTTCTGGGAACTCAGCTGAAATAGCATAGAACCTGTAGTCTTCACTCGTTTGAATACCTGTACAAAATGCCAAGCCACTAGTAACTAACTTGAAAGAGAGGAGTTCAAACCTAACCTTATCAATGCCAATCCATGAGTAATTCCAGAAGGTTACCTTTGTCATTAGGATCTCCATTCCATTTTCCAGAAGTGCAATTCCATTCCCCAGCCATGTTATCATCTTTCTTCCAGTCGGATATTACCCACCGACCTTCCCATCCATCTTCAGTTTCACAATAATAGAAAAGGAAAATCAGCCAAAAAAGGTGAAATTGTGCAGTTTGAAAACAGCTAGAGTAAAAAAAAAAAAAGGGTACAATTAAAGCAGATGCAGCTTCTTTTTCACAAGTTCTCTTTTAATTTTTTAAAAGGAACACAGAATCTTAGGAATGTAACCAGGCACTTTATGCTTGACTCTGATATCTATTCTGCTAAAAAGGACATTAACTTTTAATAATTTCCTTCCCACATTGCTAAAAACTAATGTTTTCATTCCTATCTATGTTCTTACAGAAGCAATTACTTGCCTCACAATTATCAATAAAATAAACAATAAATAAATGCAGAATAATAATATTAATCATCATCCCATTTTATTATCTTTTACAGTTGCAGATCTACTCGAATTTATTGCATTTTCAACCGTAATTAAGCATTTGACTAAAGGAACAAATAAAAAACAACAGGATCCCCAAATTAACACAAAAAAAATCACCGATCCGTTCAAATTAGATCAAAGTGAAAGCTTAATCTCTACAAAACAGATTCAAACGACAAAAGCAAACCGATCTAAAGGTTCAGATACAATGCACAGATTTAGTCAGAGAAAGCGGAAGGAAATGAGTAAGAAAGAGGATACCTTCGAAGCGTTCTTCGAAGAATACTTCAGCAGAGGCGATGACAAAGAGGGAGACAAAAATTAAAGAAAGAAAACTAGGGTTTCGTCTGTTAATCGCCATGGCTGAACTCAGCAAGGAGAGAAGAGTGGAGCTGCAGAACAATAGAGTGACGGGCTCCCATTATATAGCGTGAGAAATGAGGTAACATCCTTGGTTGATCTGACGTGGATTGAAGTGAAGGACGTGAGCGAATCATTGGATGACATGTCATTCATAAGTGTCATTGGATTGACGTGGCGCAAAGCTATTGGGAAGGACTTTCACTTGACACGTAGGAAGTTTGCTAGGAGTTGGGTTACGTTTCGGGCTTTCATTTTAGTTGGAATGCATTACACGTGGCAATTATCCAATGTTAGTTTGTGCGGCCTTTGGTTTTTTTGCTTAAACCCCCTAAATTTAGGAGTAGGATTTTTGTTTAATTAATTACTATTACTTATTAGCTGTTATATAGACTTAAATATTATCTTCTGGAAACATCCACTTACATTGGAATATTCTTCATATCTGGATTTTGGAATCTTTTGAGTTTTAGATAGATAAATGTCAACTAAACTATAGCTTTAAGAAGAAATAGTTTCAGATTTATACAATTAGTAATATATTTTTTCTAAAAAATCATAATTTAAAAAAACAAATAAAAATAACTTAAACAAATATATTTTCATCAAATACAAGAATCATACGTGAAATCATGTAAGAAAAATATTCAGATAAATAAATAAATAAAAGATATTTTGAAAAAAAGAACTATATATTTAAAGGTTAAATACTGAAATTTTGAAATTTATCTTTAGATTAATAAAAATACATTGGAATTATTCTTTTAATTAATTCTATCATCATTTTGGAGTAATACTAAAGAGGTAAGTCCATCAAATAAGATAATTTTGGTGGCCGAAGGACTCTCAATCCAAAAATTTCTAAAGTGGGCCAAAGCCGGCACTTGTTTTCTCTGTTTATCTATTTTTTTATGCTTAGATTGGAAGCCACTCAAAACTCATTGCATAACATCAATGTTATATGCAAATTTATCATGGTTTTGTGCCCTTGCCATGGAAATATATGGATTAAACTTTCTTTTATTGATATTAAAATTGGGTGAAAGTAGCAAAGCCAAGCTTGATTTTCTCTTACGAGTTCAATTTCTCTTACAGCTCTTCTACTGCTGAACATATATTTACAGGGGTTAAACTGAGACAATCTAAGAAGGTTTGAAATTAGAGCAATTTGAAAAGCAAGCCTCCATGAGCCGCGAAGAAAGGAGCAAACACCAATGACTCAACTGCCATGAGCTTGATCAGGATGTTGAGTGATGGACCAGAAGTGTCCTTGAGTGGATCTCCAATTGTGTCGCCAATCACTGCAGCCTTGTGACAATCTGAACCCTTGGGACCCAGAGACTTGGCATGTTCACTAGCACCAGCCTGCAAAAGTCACAACAAGATCACCAAAGTGGAAACAGAAATTAATATGGCTAAAATGTATCTAAAAGAGTACAAGCAGGAAAAGTTGAACCTCGATGTATTTCTTGGCATTATCCCATGCTCCTCCTGTGTTGGACGCTGAGATGGCAACCTAAGGAAGATAAAAAAAAAAAAAAAAAAAATATTGTCGAGTACATAAATAAGATCAACTAAGGGGAAAGGATGATGTATATAAAACAATGTTGAGGTGAATAGGTGATCCTGACGAGTTTAGACACAAGCCTGCAACAAGATTTTCACGAGGCAAAAACAATGTTTTGCATGAAAAATCAATGAAGTCCTGACAAATACTTTGAGATTATCAAAGTTGAAAGCGAATGAAAGATGATGATAGGGAAAGAAAAATGATTGGCACTAGAAAGCCAAAAAAAATGTATGGTTCTAGAAGGAAAGGTGAATGGTAACTCATACCTGGACACCAGAAACAAGTGAGCCAGCGAGAACACCAGCTAGAGTTTCAACTCCAAAGAAGGTTCCAACGATAAGTGGAGTAAACATAACAAGCGCACCGGGTGGGATCATTTCCCTGAGTGAGGCATCAGTTGAAATCTTGACACAATTTGCATAGTCTGGTTTTGCCCTGCCTTCCATTAGTCCTGGAATTGTGTTGAATTGCCGACGAACCTCTTCAACCATTTTGAGAGCTGCACTTCCCACGCTCTTCATTGTCATAGCTGAAAACCAGTAGGGGAGCATGGCTCCAACTATCAACCCAATGAAAACCTTTGGTGTCAATACATCGACTGACTTGATGCCTGCTCTGCTAACATAGGCACCAAATAAAGCAAGAGAAACAAGGGCTGCTGATCCAATTGCAAAACCCTGAAAGGAAAAGGCAGAACATGCCAAAAATTCTTTTCAACTTTTGAAGGAAAAGATAGGAGAAAGGGAAGGGCCAACAATGAATTTGAAGAACAAGATCTAGGAATCAACATAAACATCACCTTGCCAATAGCAGCAGTGGTGTTTCCTGCTGCATCTAAAGCATCTGTTCTTTCACGTATCTTGTGACTCATTCCAGCCATTTCAGCAATACCGCCAGCATTGTCACTTATGGGACCATAAGCATCAATTGCGAGACCAGTGGCTATAGTACTGAGCATTCCCAAAGCGGCCACAGCAATTCCATACATCGCAGCCAGGCTAAAGCTCACATAAATTGCAATGGCAATGGCAAATATGGGAATGATGACAGATTTGTATCCCAGAGCCAAACCAAAAATCACATTTGTTGCTGCACCTGTCCTGCAAGAATCTGCCACATCCTGTACCGGACTGCAAGTAATTGAAGAGGGTGCTAAGCATCAGAGATAGAGAATGACAGATGCAACGCAAGAAGGCAAATCCAAAGGCATTGATGAATAGCATCTTAAACTTAAAGGTCAACGGAAGAGAATTTTATTTCAATTCTAGTCTAATAAGAACACTTCGAGCAACACATTCACAAAGATCCTCACCTGTAAGCATTGCTAGTGTAATATTCTGTAGTATATCCAATAACAAGTCCAGCCCACAAGCCAGTAGCAACACAGAAGAAAAGGTGCCTGCGTTATACATAATCAGTAAGACTAAAACAAAGAAAAGGGGAGGAAACCTTCAAATGACGAGAAAACAGTTTACAGGTTGCATACCAATTTTTCACTTCCTTTTCAGTTCCAAAATCAAAGAGAGTGAATTCTGATGGCAACGCAAAGAAGCTGACCATGGCAATCCCAGCAGTCATCAGAACAGTGGAGATAAGGAGTTGCCGTTTCAAGGATGGTTCAATTTCACTTACGGTCTTAATCTCAAACAGATCAGTTGCAAAGAGTGTAGTTATCAAACAAACCACAATTCCCATTGAGCTAATGATCAAGGGATAAGACATTGATGTAAAGTCATGACTGATTCCAAAGGATGATATAGATGCAACAAAAAGAGCTGCACATGATGATTCAGCATAAGAACCAAATAGATCAGAACCCATCCCAGCAATATCTCCTACATTATCACCCACGTTATCGGCAATAACCTGTATAAGTGCAACAAAGTTAGATGCGAGAAAAATGTTAATCTATTAGAATATAAGTGGCATTAGAACTTGAAGACTACCTACTACTGTTATTATAAAGAAACTTAAAGTGCTAAAATAAATGAGAAATTATTGCCCAAGTTGGATGCGTAGAGGGAGTGTGGAAGCATTTGTCCTTGATATTGCAGTCAAATTTCAACAAATTTTAGGACTGAAACAATTGTGCAAATCTCAGCTACTGCTCTTCTGGTATAAATAGAGATATCTAATAAGCTAAACAACAAAACAGAACTTAGTAAGGCAAATACGTCCAGCAAAGTGGAAAAGGAACTGTGGAAACTTACTGCTGGATTTCGTGGATCATCTTCAGGGATATTTCGCTCAACTTTGCCAACAAGATCAGCACCAACGTCAGCTGCTTTTGTATATATTCCTCCCCCAACTCTTCCAAAGAGAGCCATAGAAGAACCACCAAGACCATAACCAGTAATAGATTCATAAAGTCCCTCCCAGTCATCACCATAGTACAGTTTAAACAAATTGATGGATGCATAGAGCACCAAAAGGCCATTGGCAGCGAGAAGGAAACCCATGACTGCACCAGAGCGAAAAGCTGTTATAAATGCCTTTCCAACACCTTTCCTTGCTTCTAGAGTTGTTCTAGCGTTGGCATAAGTTGCAATCTTCATCCCTAGAAAACCTGAGAGGACAGAAGTAAGAGCCCCCAGCAAGAAAGCAATTGTGCTAAAGAAGGCATTTGCCAGGGCAGGTTTGCAAGTATTTCCCTGGTTGTATGTGCATGGTTCACTTTTGGTGCTGAAGCCTCTAACTGAACCAAGGAAAAGGAAGATGATGGCACCAAATACACCCATGAAGATACCGAGGTACTTGTACTCGGTAAAGAGGAAAGAGGTTGCACCTGGAAACATGGTACAGACAGGTAAAAAATTCAGCTACAAAACATAGACATCATTATTAGAAAACAACAGAGTACGAGTCCAAATTTATGTTTAAAACACTGTAAAGAATGATGCATAAGGATCAGATAACATAGAAGGGCACAGGGAGGAAAAAGACAGATTTGCATTTCACAGTGGAACAAACATATTTGTACACAATATTTAAATAAAACATCTCCATTTTTCACAATTATATAAGTTGCTCAGAAGGAGAACCATGCATGCTCTTTTTCCTCTCTTTGCATTCAAGTGTTTCTCGGCCAGTATAGCTCAATGATCGAGATTTGCTTTTAGCTCTATTGTGCTTATTGTCAACCATTCAATTTGCTTAATCAGAAATTCAGAATGATTAGTCCAGGGAATGCAAATAAGAAATTCAATTCTCCACTGTAAAAGGTAAAAAGGCCTGCTTTTAGAAATTGAAATTCAAATAAGAAATAGAAAGCTCAAAGTCCAAAATAATAAGTGACAAACAGAGAAGATCTTACGTTATACTGACGGAAAAAGAAGGAAGAAAATAAAAATAATATTTATCCTCTATGTATAACATGATGTCATGGGACTTCTCAAAGATAATATTCATCTCATGGATATTTTTGGACTACAGAATTCAACAAAAAGGATAGCAAGTAGAAGAAAAGAAAATAAACGGTAAAGAAAAACCTCAAAAAGCTCAATCACAAACATAAAAGTGAGAGAAATATAAAAAAGAGAGCTCACCGACAGAAATGGCATGCTGAATCTCAGCACACTTGATAGAAACCTCATCATTGTCAATACCCTCCTCTTCTTCACCCGCTTCAATCAGAGTTTCTTTATATCCATTGCTTGAATCATTTGATGAGACGTTCACCTTGGAGACCAAAAACCATTGAAGCAAAGCAAAACCAACGCCCACCAAGGCAGCTACAGGTATCAGAATCTGGGTAAGAGCCTCACTCATAGCACTCATTTCCACAAACTAGCTCTCAACGAAACTCACTTTGTTTCTTGGCTTGTCGTATCAAAATATAGCAAAAACTACTACTAACTAATTTTTGAATAACAGACTCAAAAAACTGGAAGTACGCAAATCTAAAAGTGGTCCTATAGGCACTGCATGGCTATTGAAATACGCAAACTGGTTGGTTTGAACGACGGATGGGACAAACTTCTTAGATTCTTCCAAACCTTGGTTGCGTTTACCAGTTGTTTTGATTAGCAGTTTTGAGTTATGTCACTGTCTTTATACAATGTGATCCATTCACATTAAGTTCGTGTCCGTAAAATTTTGGGTTTGTCTGGCTACAAATAAATTTGGATTAGAAGCAGCATTTACAATGTGGGGAGATAAGATCAAAATAATAATATTTATTTAATTGAATATCAGATACTTAGCTATATAATTAAAACAGATGGTTAAACGTGGGCAATTTTCTCTCCTTTTAGCCTTTTCACTCTTATTATTTTAACTCAAATTAATATGCAGCAACCATCATCTAGCCAATGTGTCAAATTGCCAATGTCATTGCATTTTGAGTTATCATCACTCTAAGCTTTTTTAATCATTAAATCAAAAAACTGAAGTACGCTTGAAAATTAATTTAATTTAAATTAAATATGCCTGGAAATTAATGGATCCCAAGTACCTTCCTATCGATTGTTTATACAGTTTTTAGGTGTGTTTAGTCTTTGAGAAGAAATTTTCATTAGGGAACAAGAGAGAGAAAGAGAGAAAATTAAAAGGTATTTTGTCTGCAAACTTTGCTTGAACATGAAGTTTCGCAACATGCCTAGCTTATTCAACCTTTATCAGTCAATAACTAAATTTTGCTATAAATTCGATGATAACAATGCAAGTCTTAACCCATATGAGACCACATAAAGAAGACTTGATTAAGAAACCAAATAAGGAATTACCTTTGCACACTTTCCTTTTCCATGAAGTTTCACATTCCTTGAGCTTATTCAACTTTTAGCTGTCATTCATTGGGAATTAAAACTGCATTTCTCCATCTAAATGAGAACGGAATTATTAATTATATCATTAAAATAAATCCCCATGAGTAAAGCAAGGGGAACAATTCAGAATTCTTGATTTTGTATTCATTAAAAGAATAATTTCATGTGAATTTTAGAAGCAACATGTTTATTGGTTTGGTCGTTACCATTCAATGTAACCACATTATATATAAGAAATTTCACTAGATAAAACTGCCACGGCATTATTTGCCTTTTACAAGATAGGGATTGTGTTTGAATTTCAACAGCCTAACCTACTGATTTTGACAAAGTCCACATTTCCTTAAAAAATACTAGTCAAGAAAGTACCAACAAAGAACTAGTCACATTGAAGATCAAAGGAGGGACAAAACCTTGAAATAGACAAGCCATTAGGGATGAAAATATAGAATAAAATTCATGTAATTGAAATTTCTGGTACAAATTTATAGATCTTAGTCAGATCCCAACTTTTCAAGATAACCACCAAATCTTTTTTTGTTAATATAGCAAGGGCAGGCAATGGGCTTAGTTCTTTCCTTTTCACAGATATATAATCCAAATAGTATGAAACAACTGGCTCTGTTATTTCCAGAGATGTTGTTTAATTCACGTTAATCGAATTGCTTAATAGTGCTTGCTTACAAGACAATACTATGGGCAGATTTTTTTACCTTTGATCTTTCAGTCATTTTCAAATGATTGGCCCTTGTTTCCAGGTGACTAGGTAGGCTATCTTTACCCGTTTAATTTGCATCTTCTTCAGGAAAAGTCCTTGATTGAATATCAAGACATCCAGGAAAGGTGACGCAAAATGTTCATTTGTTACTTTAATGGAGATTTAAGATCATACCATCTAGACAAAGACATGGTAAACAAACTAATATTAATAACTCAGATTCTTAAAACTAACAAAGTTAACCATGCCATTGTCGAATGGGTCGTTTGGAGATCACTGTCAATAACAACAACGAGTGAAGGAATGTTTAAGACCAATAAGCCATACACCAAATGAAGTTTGTTTACCATATTGGCCAAGTCTTTTTACAAACTTGCAAGCTAGTTAGTTTGAAGGTCTTTTTATTCTGATTTCTTTTTTCTTTTTCCTTTTCCTTTCTTTGTCTTTCCTTAAGCAACCATATTCACCATTTAACAAATTTTACAGAACCTGCCATATCTATGTTGGCTATAGCAGTTATATATGTCACTCGTTTCCTGAAGAAATGTTTGCTATATTTATATTCAAGCTCAATTCTGGTTCATTACAGTGAATAAAATATTTGACATAAAATATTATAGTGAACTCTTGTATATCCATAATATATCAGTCGGCGACTCTGAGGGAGCTGAGGTGAGGACCGGCTGCAAAAACAACTGATGGCATGATGCCTCAATTTGAGGGCTTATGATCCAAAGCAAATTGGAAAACCTAGCAATAGAAAAGAAGAGTTAAGTGCTCATAGGAATGAATCAGCTATAATGATGTGCCACAAAAACATGATTATAATGGTTCTTACATGCATAATGCATGATATGTCAATTTCCCTCTTGAGGAATAATCATACATCAAAGCGCCTTATCATATTCTTGGGGATCTTCAAAAGCTTAAAATTTCCAGAATGAATGCAAAGGATGCCCTTTAATTTGTTAAGAGTTGCGTCCTTTGGTAGCCCACAAAGGCAGAAAGGTGCTTGAATTTGGATGCTGAAAAGATAAGCCCTCTGCATGAAGCTCATGTGATTAATAAATGCTTGTCAAGCGAAGAAGCTACTTTGCGTTACATGGTTATAACCATGGCACCACTTGTGTGACGATCAAGTCGATTGGCTCGAATAGGTTGGCTTGGTTCCCTGGAATGGAAATATACGAATGTATGTGAACATTTAATAAAGAAAAAGACTAAAGCAGATCAAAAGGAAGCTTCTCCTGATTTTGGTTAGAGGAAGTAAAGAACTATCAAGATCGAGTGAAAAAAAAGTCTGTGATCGCAACATCAGAATAAGGCCCTAGCAATGGCTGTGCTTCAGTCTCGATTATACCAGCTTGAGATGGCTCGTCAGGCACGGATGAATGCCCAGCACACACAATCTCTAACGGAGATAAGTTGGGGCAACCAAATACGTACTTACGTCCTTCATGTATACATTAATCTTATTGTTCACCTAGACGATTTCATTTTGAACAATAAGATTAGCCGCTAAAGATTTTGCTGAAAAATGCAGATCAATAAATGGAGGCACATGACAAATTCATCCAACTAGTGATGTCCGAATAACACAGCTGCAATGACTCCCAAAGCCAGTAGGCCACTGTGACAACCCATTTCATGCATCAGCTTTGCATTATCACCAGTCACCACACCTCAGAGATATGATATAGAAGCTGATTTTACAGAGCCATTGGGCATTTGCGTATATATTTAGCACAAGAATTTGCGATGAAATCACATAGCATTGCTTAATAAATTGTTTAATATGAAAAAAAAAAAAAGAGCAAAATATAGCATATATCTAACGGCGTCGTTTGGTTTGAGTTGGAATCTGCCCAAAGCATTAACCCTTTTTATATTGCTTGTTTTTTTTCCTATAATGAGAAACAAATAAAACCTTGTTTATTTTGTGGATTGACGGCAAAGAAACGACAAGTTACGCTAATTAATCAAACCGTTTCTATTTTTCATCTTCTTCTTTTCATGTTTAGTTTGCTTTTATCTTCCAAGTACCCAACATTTAAGGTTGAAGAGCTGAAAAGATTTTATTTTTTTGCTTCTTTTTTTTTTTTTTCAGGCATTGAATTGAAGTAATTAAATCTGTTAATTTTGTTTTTGGGTGCAAATTAGAAGATGGGAATGTCATCCATAATAACCCCAGAAGATGTGTTGGAGTCATTGATGAATGATGGAACCATTGATGCTCTCAGGTTGAAGATTATCAATCAGCTTCAGGCCAATGTTAGTCTCTTTCTTATCTCTTTTCTGTTTATCTTAATAGATAAGTATACAACCCGTTGAATTTTTTGTCTGCGTATTTTTGTTTTGATGTAGAAATAGTTCATTGAATGATTTTCTGGGACAATGTCAATTAAATTTGTGTTTTGTCGTGAAGATTGTGCAAATTCAATGATGCTCTTTGAGCTTGTTTGATAGGTTAAGTGGAATAATTGTACTGACTTTTGAAGTTGTGTTAACTGGTTTATTGTATTTATTGTTCTAACTTGGCTGAAGATCATCTATCAACTTAAAATTCTAAGACCTTATACGTGAATTCAGTTGTTGGATCTCCTGTGAAGTTTCTGATATGGGTTGTATGTGCTTCGCTGACATAGTTAATTAGTATTGTTAAAGTAGTCTATGGCACCTACATTTATTGAATTTGAAGAGAAAGGACTCATCACACTCCCTCCAGTTCGGTATGATATCTGTACTTTTTCTTTGCTATAGGAGGAGCTGAAGAATACGGCAATCAAAATGGCAGAGCAGAGTAAGGTCCTAAACACCCCCGGGGCTGAGAAACAGACTAAAAGAGAATTGTTTGATGCACTTAGGCAGGACCTTGAGTGAGTGTTATTGCTGTTCTTCATTGTTTTTAACAGCTAAGGTTCAGTAATGCGTAGATGGTTTCATGTACTTATTTTATGTTTTTGCCCTCCCATCCTATATGTTCTAATAATTTATAAAACTTTCTATGTCATCTTGCACAAATGTGCTATGTGCTCCTGATTAAAAGTAAAAGGGCTTTAAATGTACTTTGGAACTAATTTGGGTTCTTATTATTGGGAAGAACCCCAGTGCTGGAGAGGGCCTCAAAATCAGTTTGGGAGTTGATTTTGGACAGCAATGGGCTAGGGAAGGACATAAGTGAAACAGTGGAAAGAGTCTTTTGTAAATTAAGTGGTGGGGAGCCTCCACTATTTCCTAATTCAAATGATGAGCGTCAAACTGAAAAAGAAGTTGAGGACAAGAAAAGAAAAGGGAAAGAAAAGGAGAATTCAAACTCTAAATCAAAGAAACGAAGTTTCATTGACATGAATGCTGAGGGAAGTGCCACTGACATTGCTGGCAAATCTAGTGATACTTCAGCTGCACCTGATGATGCTACTTAATTTCCCATGGCTATTGTGAAGATATGTTCTTGTGTCAACAGAGGCCATTGTTGCAAACCTGGTGAACTTTTGACTGGAAAAAAGAATTCTCCATTCAATTCTTTCCACTTGGTAGAACAATACCACAGTGTTGGCGTTGCCTAGAACAGAACAGAAGTGAATATGTTTATTGAACTATGGAGTTCTCATGACCACAAGTTGTATCGTCGTGAGGTTTATATACCATAGTTAATTATGTGAATAGTTTGAGGGCTGCTGACTTCTTAAGTTGCATTTTCTTATATACTCGCAGGCCTATTTCTTCTGACTTTGCTAATTTGCAAAGTAGATGAAACCATGCTTGTTTTTGAGTATCTTCCAGTTTCTGACTTCTGCACAACAGAAATCCCCTTTAGATTTTTTTATTTTTTTTTATTTTATGGTATGAGTTGATACTTTGAGAATGTTACGGAAACATGTGTTTCCTTTTCATGTGCCTTGAAACTCCTGACTTCTTACTAGCTATCTGAATATTTTGGAGAAAACATATAAATATATATATATATATATATATATTTCCAATATCTGAGCTGGAAAACCATCCTTCATGAAGTTTCTCATGGTAATTTGTTATATTATGAAAAGTCAACTAAATAATGTTTGATTTCTTGGTCTCTGAGGGAAAAGCAGCCGGAAAAGGACTTTTGATCCACACGGTTTCTTGTTTATCTCAACTAAAAGGCAGTCGTGTTATCATCAGTATTTCAGGGGTTTTCTTTGACCCTTACGATCAGGGGCCCTTTTTTTATTTTTATTTTATTTTTATTCTTGTAATTCTTAATGCCAAGAAGACTGCTCTCACTTAGAAGTTCAATTTCGTCTCTTCTTTAGTTTTTTCCTTGCTTTGGTGGACTCCGAGACTGGAATTGAGGGTTGCTTGAGCATACAAATAGTAATAATAATAATAATAATAATAACAATAAACTTCTAATGACTTGAGGCCGGGGAGGTATTTCTTCACCAACAACCAGCCTTGGGAAGCATACAAATTCTTTTTCCAGATATTAGGAGTGCAGCATGAGATAATTAATCTATTCTGAAGGGTATTCAAATGAATAAATAGGTTTCATTTTCTGATTTCTGATGGAAAGGAATGGACATTGATGCATGTTCACTTTACTATCTGTCACTTAAAGTTTTGTCGTTAATCAAACAACTTCAATTTTATTAAGATCTGTTTCTCAATCATTACAAATTAATATCCAAAGATTATCTATTAGCAAACCAATTGGATACAAAGGATCTTCCTATATCATAATATGCAGTAACAAAAGTTCAAGTAACAAACAACTCACATGATTTTGAAAAAAAATTTTGAAAAAAACAATGAGGAAATTATTTTTATAACTACTAAGTTTAGCTACTTTCCTCTTAACTTCCTATCTTCTAAACTAAAATGAATATCCTAACAAAAAATTTAATGTATTATACTAACTTCTATGTTCCGTCATTGATTTCATTATTGAAGTTTAGAAAGTGTTCCATAGTTTGATCATAATTAACATATGAACAAAATGAGTTGTTAGGCAGCAGATTCGCACTCATGTTCTCATGAAGAACCTGAGACTGAGACTGAGACTGTGACCAGCTTGCAGCTTGGGAAGAGATTAACCTGCTGCTTGACAAATTATTGTTCATAACTACAATATTATCAATCATATTCTGCCCATAGTTTGGAGTCACATTATTTGTGTTGTTTGTAAAATATCCTTCTCTTGATAGATTACCCGCTGCCATCTCGCTGGAGAACTCAATTTGCGAATTATTCAGCAGCATATTTTGAAGGTCATCTTCTTGAAGAAACATTTGTGTTGAATGCATTTGAGAAGTCAAAGATGTAGTCGCTAGTCCTCCAAATTGATTTTTCATACCTTCTTGTACATAATCTGATGCATAACTATTTTGAAAAGAGATAGTTGAATTTACCTGGAGAGCCGATGTAGCAGCGAAGGACATTCCTCCAACTTGGTTTGTAATTAAATTATCTGTAACATTATTCATCCCTTGACCCCAGGGTGGCATTGGATTGCTTATGTGTTCATCTATATTTGAAAAATCCAAAACCATATTATAGTAATGCGTTAGTTTGCAATTTAACTAAAGCCTATAACAAAAAAAATGGATTGAAAGCAATAAAATACCTGATATTGATGAATTTGGATTCTTAAGATGAAGAGATTTTTGTGCATTCTGCGCATATGTTTGAAAATGTTGAGAAAAATATGTAGGAACATTTGAAAATGAAAGTTGTTGTTCAGCATTGACATGTCCTTGTGTACCAAAGTCAAATGATAAATCAATTCCAAATGTATGTTTCTGAAAGTGTGGAGACTCTAGAGTTGGATAATTTTGTCGGCTTAATTGAAACAACCGACTGTCACATCTTAAAAGTTTCTCAAAAGGCTTGTCAAGGGCTCCAACAGGAAATTCAAGGTAATGTCTCCTAAAAATACAGCACAAACAACAATAAAATTGTATGTTGGAAATGAAGAAATTTAGCACTAAAATTTGGTAAATACAAACCTAAAACTAAGAGCTTGTCCTCCAGTGAAGTCTGAAACCATTCTCCATTGAGTGTGCTTTCTTGGTTGTGGATCAATCTCATGGTAGAATGAAGGAGGTTGGTTTAACTGCACAAATCTCACACATTATTACTGAAATTCAAATCAAAACAAGTAAGAGATCTACATTAAATCTTAACTAGACTGAAAAATATTTTACCTCAATTTCAAGAATTCCAGGTTGATCTTCCTGCATGATAGCCTTCAAGGACAAAATATCAGACCACTGTATTTCGATCTTGCTTTTCAAACAATTTTCTAAAAATTCCCAAACCAACTTTCTTTTGGCAAAGTAGCTCTTTGCTACTAAGTCACCTTCATTCCTTGATACCCTCTATAGAGACATTAAACTATTTATTAACTAGAATATGAAAAATTATAATATTTTTGTAAGGAGATAATTAGTTTCACCTGCCATGAGCCAATTCTAAGCAAAGAAATCGGGAAGTTTTCAGCTTTCATCTTATTTGCTTGTTGTAAAGTATCTTGTAACTTTGCTCTACCTGTAGTATAATCAGAATTAGGGTTTGTTTGCTTTCCAACATTGCAGTTTTGTCCTCGGGCTAATTGGTCTAGTTTGTATAAGAAAGATGGTGTTTCAGAAAGTTTTAAACCAAGAGCAGGTAATGTGTTAAAAGCATGAACCAGGTTAACCTGCAATAACGATAGAAGTTAAATTAATTGCATGCATATAGTACTTGTAGAATTATAATTAAAAAAAAATGTTGTACTACATTTACAAATAAGAATGAGGAGAAGGAAAATGATCAAAAAGAGGATAAGGCTGAAAGTAATTAGCATGAGGAGTGGATTTGTTTAAATCAATTTTTACAATCTAATCTCAAAATAAGTCACATGTTTTAAAGGTTTTATAGCAAGACCAGGTAATGTGTTAAAAGCATGAACCAAGTTAAACCTAAAATAATTATCTGCATGTATATAATGCTTGTAGAATCACAATTCAATGAGTAAAGTAATTAGTGTGAGTGTGTGTGTGTATACATATATATATATATGCACAAATAACCCATGCATGTGACCAACTTTGAAATTTAATGTAAAAAATTTTCTTGGTCACTTTTGATTCATTGAGAAAATTGGAAACAAAATGCAATAGCCAATACAGAAGCCAAATTCTATAACTTTTTCGAAAATAAATGTGCTTAAATGTTAAATCTATCCTACGAAACATCTAATGAAACATAATTAGTACAAAAAAACAGTAATGTGATCTATTTGGTTTGTTGATAGTATTGAACTCTTAGTTTAGTTTATGTAAATAGATTGAGTTTAATTTTAATAACTTCAAGTATAAATAAAAAAAAATTAATAGTATAAAAAAATACAGATCGAGATTAATTTTAATAACTTCAAGTATAAATAAAAAAAAAAAGTACTGCAACAGATATTTTTGAATAAATGGTGAAATAGCTAGTCCATGAACATTTGAAAAGAAAAAAAAAAAAAAAGGGAAAGTAAGCATGGTAAGAGATGATCTTAATGTAAATGAACAAATATATATACATTTAAAAAAAAAAAAAAAAGCAAAAGCCTGTATTTCAAAGAAAGTAATTTATTAGAAGAATCAAAAGACGTTTGTAATCATTTTCTGTCAGAACTTATCATTAATCATTATAATAAATCTTGCAAATAAGGTGCATGACACAACATTAGCCTCATGCATAAAGCTAGTAATAAAGAAAAAAAAAAAACTAAAGAAAATGCAGTAAACTGCTTGCTTGCAGCTTCAAAGGGAAAAGAAAAATGGAAGTTAAAGTAAAGACTCAGTAAACTCCTCACTTTGGTTTCAGCCCAAAAAAGAAATCGAAAAAATAGTTAAACTCAGTGTAACAGCCTCTGATCAATAATCCATAATAAACAGTAAAAAAATGAAAGAGAAAAAAAAAAAAAAAAAACCTGTGGAGTTGATTGTATCCAGCTCCCAGAAAGAGAATCAAAGTTCTGAGAAGAATTACTCATCAAAGCAGACTCCTCCATATCCTCATCCAAAACCATAATCCCATGTTCCATGATCCTCAAACAACTCTAAAAAAGAAAACAAATCAACCTTTGACAAAGCCCCAGATTTTATATCAAAGGGTTGGTTTAATGTTCTTGTGTATCTATATCTACACGTAGAGTAGAAGAAGAAGGTGTAGAAATTTGTAAGCTTGGGCTGTGAAATCAAAGCAGACAGAAGAAGAGAACAGGGAAGCGAAATGAAAGGAGAGTGAAACTGCTGTTGAAAGGATTTGGTTGAAAATACAAGAATTCCGCCTGTTACGTAAAACTAGTTATGACTTCATTGTTTATCACACCTCGACTCTTATTATTATTATTATTTTATTTTTTTTTTTACATTCTTAATTACGCCTTCTTTTTCTTTTTTTTTTTTCCTTATTATTATAAAGAAAATGATTTAGTATAAATGAAGTAGTTGGCCAAAGGGATTTTTTTTTTCTTGAAGGAACTATTATTATATTTAAGTCACGGTAAAAATGAAACAGTAAAAAGAGAAAGAAAGTTTGGATCGAAATCAACTTCTTATATATGTCGGTTAATAATTTGTTATTAGTTATGTATCTGTTTGATTTATTTTTTGTTTTTTAAGAAAAATAAAAAGACATCAATTAAACAAAATCTTAATATGGATTTTTGGTTGGTTCACCTGAATCCATTTTTTCACCATTTTCTTTTTTTTTTGGGTGGCATCATTTAGTTGGAATCAAGTTATTATATGATAACAAGCATTAATGCAATTTTCTGTTTGCAATAACTCCAAATGCCAAAGGAGAGTATTGAAAAAAAAAAAAAAAAGGATATATTACTTACCCTTTCTAAGTATAAATTAAGAAGATATAATTTTTCTTTTTTTATAAATGATGCCGTAATATG